TACAGCCTTACCACCACCGTCACCGTCACCACGCTCACACAGATTCACTCACCATCACCACCATCATCCTCACGCTGCCTCACCATCACCTCCACCACACAGATTCACCATCGGGGAGTTAAAAAATGGGGAGAAAACTTAGCCCGTGACATCCGCTCACCTGCGAAACCTGACACATCCGGAGAGGAGAGGGTGTGGAGGGGGAGGAGGCGCGTGTGCATCCATCCTCTGCGTCTCTGTCTGGCCGGGAGGAGGAGCGTGTGGGGCGGTGCACATCGTCTGTTTCTGTCCGATCTATTTGACCAGAGAGAGAGAGAGAGAGAAGATCGAAGGGGAAGAGGGGGAGAAAGTGGCTGATGGGAGAGAGGAATGGGGAGGAGAAGAGATGTTGGGGGAACGGAAAGAGAAGGAGAGGAGGGAAAGGAAGGACTGATGCTGAAGAGAAAGGTGGAGAAGTTTGGCACTATGAAGGAGGGAAGGGAAGAGGTGACACAGAGAACAGAGATTTGATTCTTGATTATATACGAATAAATGGGAAGAGATGAAGTGCTAATAACCCGACCAGTTGGCGTCACTGAGTAAAGATAAGAAGAAGAGGAATAAGACAATAATGAAAACAAAAAATAAGAAAAACGAAGAAAAGATAAAAATGTCAAGAGAAATGATTAGGAAGACAAAAAAGATATAAGAAAAATAAGAGATGGTCATGATGGTGATAGCAATAATGGTGAAGGCGGTGGTGATGATGGCGCTGGCGAAGGTGGCGGTAATGATGATGATAACATAAGAACATAAGAATGGAGGAAACTGCAGCGGGCCTATTGGCCCATTCTGGGCAGTCCCGTTTACACCCAACCCCTATTGCTCACACATCCATCCAACCTATGTTTGAAGCTATTCAGCGTATTCGAGTTAATGATGATATTTGGTAACTTGTTCCATTCATCCACTACTCTGTTTCCAAACCAGTGTTTACCTATTTCACGCCTAAATCTAAATTTGTCTAATGTAAAACCATTGTTACGAGTTCGCTCCTGGTTGGATAATTTGAGTACCTTTGTAATGTCCCCTTTGTTTAGCCCTACCTTTCCACTTATACACCTCTATCAGGTCGCCCCTCGCTCTACGTCTCAAGGGAGTGCAAATTAAGATGCTTTAACCTGTCTCTATACTCAAGGTTCCTAATGCCCGGATTAGTCTTGTCATTCTCCTCTGAATTCTTTCCAATGATTCTATATCCAATCTGTAATACGTGACCAGAACTGAACTGCGTAATCCAGGTGTGGTCTCACAAGAGCAAGATACAGTTTTAGGATGACCTCGCTAGTCTTGTAACTAACACTCCTTTGTATGAACCCAAGTACTTTATTAGCCTTGTTACGAGCAAAAACACATTGTTTACTTGGCTTAAGGTTCCTACTTATCATTACTCCTAAATCTCTCTCGCAGTCGGATTTCTCTATGGCATCGTTGTTCATCTGGTATCTGGTTTCCCTGTTTACATCTCCTATACTGAGTACTTTACATTTGTCCACGTTGAATTTCATCTGCCATTTTTCAGACCATTCGAAAAATTTGTTTAGATCTTCCTGTAGTTTTGCCGAGTCCTCGTCAGATTTGATAACACGTCCTATTTTAGTGTCATCAGCAAATTTACTTATGTTGCTGTCTATGCCGATATCTATGTCATTTATGTATATAATAAATAATAATGGTCCAAGTACTGAGCCTTGGGGAACTCCACTTGTGACGTTGCTCCAATGGGACTTAGTGCCGTTAATGCTCACTCGCTGTTTCCTGTCCTGTAACCACGCCCTAATCCATTTAAGGATGTCACCTTTGATGCCATGAGCTTCTACCTTTCTAATTAGTCTTTCGTGGGGGACTCTGTCGAAGGCTTTGCTAAAGTCGAGATATACCACATCATAATTGTGCCCCTCGTCCACCGATTCGAAAACTGATGAAAAGAATGTTAATAGATTAGTTAGGCAAGAACGTCCGCTTGTGAAGCCATGCTGGGAATCATTGATCAATCGGTGCTTCTCCAGGTGATTTCGAATAGGGTTTGAAATGATTGCTTCCAGTAATTTGCCTACTATTGATGTTAGACTGATTGGGCGGTAGTTAGAGGATAGTGATCTATCCCCCTTCTTGAAAATCGGTATTACATTCGCCATCCTCCAGGATTCTGGTACTACACCTGTTTTTAAGGACATGTTAAACAACTTTGCGTAAATGGTGGTGTTTATAGTGGCGGTGATGGTGTTGGTGACGGGCTACTGTCTATATATACTACAGCCTCACCACGTCCTGGTTGGTCAGTCAGGAGGGATGTGGTCACCGGCAGCTACGGGAAGTGGATACCTGTAGGAGGGGTAGAAGGGGGGCAGGCAGAGAGAGAGAGAGAGAGAGAGACTGCTGGGGAGGTAGGAGTGGAAGGACGAAGAGGGATATAAAAGAGAGAAAATATGAGTAGAGGGATGGAAGAATAGAGGCTAGAAGAGAGAGGGGGGCGAAGGGATGAGGAAAGAGGACAAAGCAATAAAGAGAAATATATAGATGGAAGGGGAGAAAGGAGAGAGAGAGAGAGAGTAATTGAAAGTCGGTCAGAAGTTCTCATTAAAATACTACAGTGCTTCTCTATCACCCCAGAGGAAACAGATAAGCGGGAACAATGGAAGTGTCCAGCCCCTCAGCCCATTGTTTTCACCCGTCCACACCTGTTCTCTGTCCACACCCGTCCACACCTGTTCTCTGTCCACACCCGTCCACACCTGTTCTCTGTCCACACCCGTCCACACCTGTTCTCTGTCCACCCGTCCACACCTGTTCTCTGTCCCACCTGTTCTCTGTCCACACCTGTTCTCTGTCCACACTCGTCCACACCTGTTCTCTGTCCACACCTGTTCTCTGTCCACACCCGTTCTCTGTCCACACTCGTCCACACCTGTTCTCTGTCCACACCCGTCCACAACCTGTTCTCTGTCCACACCCGTCCACACCTATTCTCTGTCCACACCTGTTCTCTGTCCACACCTGTTCTCCGTCTACACCTGTTCTCTTTCCACACCTGTTCTTTGTCCACACCTAACCAGACCTAAACTAAATAATGAGGGATTTGTACTGAACCTATCCTGAGTCAACCTTAATCTTACTCGAATGCTAAGGGATTCTAACCTAACCTAACCCAAATGACAAAACTTAAGCTCGCCCATATGTTAGGGAGGGTGAGGGTGATTCTAACATGAAACCATAGTTAAATGAGCTAGACCTGTGATGTGGTAACCAGATTTTGTTTATGCTGGGTAAAGACTTGGATACATTAGCCAGCCTCTGTTTCAACTGTGTCAACAAAGTATGAACACACCACCTAAGTTAAGTCAAGTCCATTGTGAAAATATTTCATGGCACAGCCGTCCTGGAGGGGGTTAAAGACACTGCTGTTTCTGTTGTATATTTTATAGTGTTAATATATTACTTTATTTATGTTGTATGTTTTTGTTCATTATTGTACAGTATTATCGCCCACAGGTTAAGTTATTTGAGTTGGGCTAAAACATTCCCTTGAAAATTGTTCGTTATTGTGAGATAGTCCAGTTGCTCTTTGCTTTTTTTTTGTGAGATCTTTTATTTAAAATTTTACACTCCTAAATGACAAGCAGGTTGCTTCTAATTACACACACGACACCATGATTTCAACTAGCCTTTGACATTTCCTTCTTTTTAACTTTATGTTTTGGTTGGTTATCTCTGGCATCAATTGGTGTTTTTCACTTACCTATAGTGTACTGTAGACCATGTATAGCGATAGTGATATATGGGAGAAAGGTGTCTGCATACAGTGCATTGTTGCGGTAGCCTTGGGTAGCCCTATAGTTGAAGACTTAACAGGTTATAGGGTTATTAGTACCAGCTAATTATGACCATTGTCAGGTTTAATTAAAAATCATAAATACCTCATGTAAGAAGCCCAAGAAAGTGGCGTGGTTGAGATACTGAAGTGGTAGAATATTAGTGCAAACACAAGGTGTACTGTCCCCGTAGAGTTTTACCATATACGGGACACGTCACTCAGAGCTTCCCAGCCTTTCTATAGACAGTAAGTGAACCGCATTGACTGGTCCAAAATGTGATGAGGTCGCTCTTCAAAACAGGTTAAGTGAATAAGTTACTTATCTACTTACCGCTTGAGGGTAATTATTAGCATGATTAACGTGATTTATCGGGGTATGTTATTTTTAGCATGATTTCATTCACGATGTTTATAATAACTTGTTGTATACTAACCCAGCATGAATTAGTGTATAATTAATTAGTTTTATTATACAACATTTGTATTATTACTCATTAAATCTTTCAGGATAATTACTTAAGATTTGCTGCATAATTAATTACTCAGCATAACTTTTTACGTAATTACTTATCATAACTTGACATAATTAAGTACTCAGTCATGACGTATATAATTATTCATTATTATTTGCTACATAATTACAATGCCTTAATACTTATCCCGACTTATTATACGAATTACTGTACTCATAAGTAGTATAACTAGACATCAGTCTTTGTTACGTACTTTATTACTACTCATAAAATGTATTATTATCCATCAATACGTGCTACATAATTATTCAAATGTCCCTTCTGTATCATAACTCAACAATCTTTCCTACATACTCATTATATTCACTTGTGTAGTTGCTCTTCAGGTTTAATCCTTAGGTAAGAGATTTTAAGTATTTGTTCACTGTGGATAACTTATATATGTTTGTGAATATTCAGGTCAGTAAACTAATCCTTATCAAAATTAAGGTTGGTGTATATTTGATGAGTGAAGGATATTATTTTGTTCTTATTTTCATTACACAGTACAATGGGAGCCAGGCTGTGTATTATAATTTTAGCACTTTAGTTAATAATTTTCACTTATTACTGTTAATGTCGTTAATTAATTTATTATATGATTATTTTCCACACTTAGGGTATTGACAGAATAATTAAATTCCTTTCTATTTATTGATATGCAGACATATATGCGATATATATACATATGATATATTTACACAGAAAAATACACTTTGTGACTACACGACCTTACAGACCATAGTAAGGTCGACTTCTCATAACATACCTCGTGTGTCCCCCATGTTAGGGAACTGTGGATGATAAGGCCTAATAAATGAGCAAAATGTATCTTTACAGAAGGTTATATTGAGCTAAGTGACGTTGATTCCTATGGTAAATATGTCCTCGACTCTGAGACATAACAGAATGAGTATTACAGACATTCATTATTACAGACACTCAGTACAGTATTACAGACATACATTACAGACACTCAGTACAGTATTACAGACACACATTACAGACACTCAGTACAGTATTACAGACATATATTATTACAGACACTCAGTACAGCATTACAGACATTCATTATTACAGACACTCAGTACAGTATTACAGTCATTCATTATAACAGACAATCAGTACAGCATTACAGACACTCAGTACAGCATTTCAAACATTCATTATTAAAGAAACTCAGTACAGCATTACCGACATTCATTATTACAGACACTCAGTACAGCATTACAGACCTTCATTATTAATATAGTGAATATAGCCCCAAACTCTGTATAGCTTAAGTTATGATCAATTTAATGCTAAAAGGAACAGAAGAATATTTATAGTGTCCGAGAACAATATATGGTGCTTAACATTATAACTGTCGGAGGAGAATACTTGACAGTTTAATATTTTCAATAAGTTATGTACACATGTGGGGAAGAAACATCTTTCACCACTACAACTCCTTTGGTTCATATAAACACGATAATATCCATGTTACCTACTGTACAATTAGCAAGAGTTCAAAGTTGTTTACAAGATTAGAGACAAGTTACAAGGACATTTTAGATTACTTACTGCAACAAATATATTCACTGAGGCGAATTCATTACAAGAGTATTTAGTTTAAACACATAAATATACCAAATAATTCACTCGTAAAAGCCAATTCTCAATAACAATTCTTAATTATATATATATGAAAATACAAATAACAAGGCATAATAATCTAATATCTGTGGCACTTTTATTTTTCCCTATCAAGACAAAGTTAATACAGGAGTGACATGGATAAATTGATAGGTTAGTAAGAATTGAATTTAAATGTTATCACTGTAGATGTTTATGTTGAACCCTTACATAACTAGGAAGAACACATCCGACTAGCATAGAACACGCACGTGAGGGTGACGTGGATTTTCACTATCACATATACTGTATATACAAACAGACAGCCATATATTATCAAATCCTTCATACAGAATTGCATATATATCAACAGTAATTAGTTCACAAAGAGTATTGTCTTCTCACGGAGCACTCTAAATATTCATGAGTTGTCTGTACCAACGGTTGCTTATAACCAGTACAGCACATTCCTTGTCACATCAAACTTTCAGCGTAAACATCGCACAAGCTCCGAAGTGACTTAGTTCAAGGCGGCATCGTGTGCATCAAGTACAGTACTTAATGGAAGTGCAAGTGCCGGAAACATCGTAAAGCTATACAGTAGTGAACCAGCCTCCCTGGTGGAGTAGCACTAGAAGGCGTCCACGGAAGTGCGGGAGTTTAGGTGCGTCACGGAGGAATGGGAAGCTTGTGAGAGCTGAGACTCGTGCGAGTCTCGAGATTCCAATCCTTGTCTGCTGGAGGAGGGACTCCGGGCCACCCAGTGGGCGCCACGGCGGGCCAGCACCACCCGCCTCCAGCACCCACTTGCCGCCACGCGCCACACCTTGCGCGTACAGGTGAATGCGAGGAAGATGAAGACGCCTTGCAAGGTGTTGAGCAGTACGAATATGTACCAGATGGGCTCGAGCTGCAGATAGCCAGCGACTATGCCGCTGATCCACGTCAGGCCCATCAACAACGCCAGACGCATGTATAGCTTGAACTGGTTCTGGTGTGGTGAACATGACGTCATCTTTGCTGTTGACTGCGTCGTCTCGGCAATAATGCGAGCAGAACAGATGAAGAAGATGATGTTGATCAACATTATTGTTGTTAATGGCGCTGCAAAGAATACTAGAAGAGCTTTTCGTTGTCCGAACCAGCACCAACGTTCCCCGAGGGTGGGGAAGTACTGTGGGGGCATACCGTCAGGTCGCACGAGGTCAAGGGTCACCAGAACCGCGAGAGCAGCAGCGGGGAGTATCCACCCATATACGGAATAGGTGATAAACTTGGTCCACTGTCCACCTGCAGTTACTCGAAGCTCTGACGTCGCCAGTTTCAATGTCCGCCAGATATCAAACGCCATAACATTCATCCAGCAGAAGGAGGAGAGGAAGAAGTAGTACATAGCAGCAGCCAGGATGAAACACTCGCGCTTGCCTGCTTCCCCAAACACACTCAGTATGAAGGTGGTGTAGGCAGCCAAGAGAACCAGGCAAAGGGACGCCAGATTCTTTCCCGATAGGTTCCTTAGGTCAGGTACTATAAGGAAAGCAATTAAATGTAACAGGAGACAGATGCAAGAGAGGCCCAGACCAGCCAGTGACACCCAGCCCATCAGACGAGAGAATTTGTCGGTCTCTGGTTGGATAATGCATATAAGAATTCCGCCTTCTGTACGCTCGTATTCATGAGCCTGGTAGGTGCGACGATACTTCTCAACCACCACAGTACCGTTGGCACTCATGGTAAACTCATCGGCAGGCAGGAGGAATCGTTCACAAGTCAGAGTTTTGGATTTCTCGGTGCTTGAATTTGAGGAATGAGTAGACCCTGTAGTAGCAGTGGTAGTTACAGGTACTGGGGTTACTGTGCCAGTTTCAGCGGGCTCCAGTGTTGTGCCCTCGGGAGCAACACTCATGTCTTCCTTCTTGTCTCCTAGGTCCTCTGTGATCACCACTGATGTAGTAGTAGTAATGACAGATGTTGCTTTAGTAGAAACGGCTGTGGTTGACGAAGTCGACTCCTCGATACCTGCTGGACTGCTGGTGACACCTAAGTCAACACATCGGCCGAACCTGTACTCCTGGTTGTCCTTCCCACATACCACATTCCTGCACTTTTTGAAGAACGGGTCCCACACCTCTCCCGTCCTGCAAGTTGATGTAGAGCCGACCACGTTGCTTCCACTACTGTCCGTAAAGTCGAACAACATGGAAAAGGCACCGCGAGTAAACTCATTGCCGAAGAAAAATCTGGTGGTTAATAGATGAAGACAGATGGTGTTCTCTGGGAATAAATAGTTACATTTTGCACAGTGGGGGTTTCTGTAAGCTTGGTCGAACTTGTATACTACGGCCGTGTATGAATGACAAAGATTCTCCACTTCTGTATCTGTCCAGTTAGAAGCGCATGCATTTGTTGTCTTTTTGCAGCTTCTCACCAAGTGGGACACCGTCTCTGGCATCATTGGGTCGATTAAACATGTATGGAAAACTTGAACGCCATTATCATCGATGTAAAGACCCCAGTTCCTGTCATTGAAGACCAAGTTGGAGATGACGTATTCCTTCGTCAGGTTTCTGAAGCGGTTTTCATAGCTGGTTAAGGTTGGGCACTCCAGGTGAGGCTTCCACATCTCCAAGTTAGTGGAATCGTTGTTACAGACAGCGCAGTAGAAGTTGGTGTAGGTGATGGACGAGCCGAGGCTAGTTACTGGGAGGTCAGCCAAGGGGTCACTACGATCAGAGTAGGCGTCGGGGGTGCCACTGGAACATAACATAGCAATCTCCAGATCCTCCCAGCTCGACATGCACGTTCCCTGCATGTATAGATGACCGAACTGCTTCAGGTGTACACACTTATAACTGTCTCGGTTTGCTGTTTGCTCCTCAGCACTGTATGCACTGGCGTCGAGACAACAGTCACCATACTCTGCACAAAGATCATCACAAAAACAGTTCCTATCCTTCCAGTCACTTGAGTCGCCCATACGGGGACCCTTGCCACTCCTGCACGTGTCTCTGGGCGCGCATGTCTTGTTCATAGCCACCAAATCGGAATATTCGAAGCTTTTTGACAATCCCAGAAGGAATGTCATTGTTAGCCAGAACACCAGCTTATTTGCCATTTTGTTGGGTTTCTTTATAACCAGTGTCACTTTAAAACGACTTCGCATGTTACACAGTCATTCACAGCATGCGAGATGAGGCCAAGAGCCGACCCTCACACAACCTCACTGTACGCCAGTTGCGTCTCGACTGATCCTTCGCCTGAGACCTGACTCGTTGTGAGGTATAGCCCGTCTCCTTGGCCGCCCCACTTGCTCCGCCCACCTCGCTGTACCTTAAGGTTTTTATTTATATTTTTCCATCAATCTTTAGTAACACTGAAGTAAATGAAGATCTTACATTATCACTATTATCACTCAAAAAGTTTTAATGTCATGTTTGTGGAATATAATGGAATCCTGCGGCTACCATTCACTCTGCCTTCTTCCGTGACGTCAAAAATATGGAGCCAATGAGAGTAACTGGAAAGATGACGTCATGAGTAATGGACCAATCGCAAGGCTGGTATCCTCAGGTGCCGGTGAGAGGGCGCGGTTGAGAGCTTCCTGCAGAGGGAAAAGAAAAATAAACATAATTACTGAAATGTTTAAATATTTTGTGGTAAATATATAGCTTAATTTTACTCCTAATTCGCCATAAAGTTTCGGATTATAATTCTTAAAAGATTGAACTGAAGTAATGACAGCGTAAATTTGTATCTGCGGTTAAGAAAACAGTTTAGCGGAGTTAACAAACCTCAACAGTCGTTAACAACCAGGTGAACCACACGTAAAAAACGTGTTCATAATTAATTGACCGATACGCTCAGTTATCCCAGAGGTGTTTCCCAGACTCAGGATGACCAGCAATATTTTTTCAGGGATAAGTAATAATTTCTATATACTGTACATAATAATATAAGCGATGTACAGTAAATATCAATATCACTTCTTATAATAATAATAATATTAATGGTTAGGTTTTATAAATCATTTCTGGAGGCGATTATTCTCCCCATTAATCAGTTTAGTCCCCCCACCTGCCCATTAACTAGGCTACCATTCCCCCACCCATTTTTAACCTGTCAATATTCTCATCTTCCTCCCATTAGTCTGTCAGTCTCCCTATTAATTAATCTGTCAATATCTTCATCTCCCTACGCCTGTTATAACCCTTCACGTACACATGAACACGTGCTGTACGCCTGTTATAACCCTCCACGTACACATGAACACGTGCTGTACGTCTGTTATAACCCTTCACGTACACATGGACACGTATTGTTCGCCTGTTATAACCCTCCACGTACACATGAACACTCCACGTACACATAAACACGTATTGTACGCCTGCTATAACCCTCCACGTACACATGAACACGTACTGTACGCCTCTGCCTCCAGTAATTATACGCCAACAACCACTTCCTGCGCTTCTGTAAGTGGCATCGGATGTATGTACAAAGATCCTCAACGGACACACACCTGTACACGGTCTGGCAGTAACATTAAGACTGGGATAATGAGATGCAGAAGAGGTGGGAATTGTTACAAAAATGATTGGCGACTCCTTTGTGCGCCTCATCCGGTGACCTTCAGTGAGTATACTGTATATAGATCCCTGGCGACAACTTAGGAGGATCGTCTGCTTCGTGACTGACTCTCTCGTTTGCCAGTGTAGGATTTCTTTGAACTGTTATCGAGACAAGTGTCAAAGACTGCTTTAACTTGGTCTGTCCAGTACCTGTTGTGTCTCATCAAGATCTTCAAATTTGTGGGTGTAATGAGTTGTTCTTAGCCGTCTTACTTCACAGTTTTTACACATATGCAGATTTATTTAATAATCAATATGTATACATTCACATTCATATACATTAACTCCACCTAACCTCACGTATCTAAACTTAGGAAAACTCGCGCGGAACCTTGGCATGCTTTCTTGCTTGAGCTGACCCACCTCACTCGTCCGGGGCCAAGTCGTGAGCTCAGCCACCCACCACAATATACGCCGACCCACCACAATATACGCCGACCCACCTCCCTTCACCGCCGACACAAACCCCAGTACAGCACCCAGTCAAGGCTAACCCCCCACTCCCCAGAGGATGTCCCAATGATCCCGGTAATTACGCCCGGCTCGAGCCCACAATTTTTACCATTCAAACCTCCCGGCACATTTTGGCGGGAGATTCACTGTACACAAATTTCCGTCGTCCGGGAAGGTGTTACATTAACGCGCGCGTGTACAAGCGTTATTATCTCAGATTTTGGCGGGAAGCGTTTGTTGTACTCTGATTCTTCCAGCCTGGAGTCCGGTACGTATTGGTGTTCCTTAGAGGGAAACACACACCTATAGATCACTTCTCGGGGTAGGGTAACTATCGCCCCCCACCTCCCTCTCCCTCCTCCTGTCCCCAGTAATTACGGCCACCGTTTTTTACGCTGTCCTTTGTTCCTGAGACCATTAATACTCACGGGCAAGAACCTGCTTACCTCACCTCACCTTGTTTACTCTGGGCCTCCGTCTGGCTACACCTCAGACCAAATCGTGGAATACTGACCTAGTTTAACCTAAGTCAACGAAGTCTGACCAAATCTAAGCTAGTCTTTATCTCGTCTGAACTAGTCAAGCATAATTTAATTTGCTTAATTAAACTAACTTACCTGCAGCCTGACCCAATATATCTCATCGTTCTAAACATGAGGTGGGGTGTCTAATCTTCACGTGACCCGCATAGGCTACATCGTGGGAGGGAGAGTTGCGGAAATATCCCAGAGTATACAAGTTCTTAACACGAATACCAGTTTTCCTTGGTTATAAAATTTCTTAACATATACTTTACAGAATTATCATCATAAAAAACAATACAAATTACACATTTAACAACACTGATAAAACAAGTACCGGTTTGTTACATCATGTCATGCCACCAAGCATTTTGTCTTAAATACTTTTAATATGAATTGTGACTCAGTATTTCCTCTTGTGACAGTGATGACGGTATCCACTATCCCTGACTTCCTAGCAGTATCCCATGTGTCACGTCTCATAGGCCATAGGGAGGTGTAAGGTTAGGTTAGGCCTTAGTGGTGGTGGTGGTGGTGGCGGTGGTCAAGAAGAGGACAAGATAAGCATTGGTTAGGTTAGGTTAGGCATGAGTGGTGTTGGTAGTGGCGGCAGAGGACAAGAGAATCATTGGTGGTGGTCATGGCAAGGTCAAGGGAGCGCCGAGCAGATCAGGTTACTTTTAGGAGTAGGATGATCTCAGCAGTGACAAGAGAAGGTGGTAGGGGGAGGAGTAGTAGTAGAGGGAAGAGGGCAGGGCAGTGTTAAGACTTACCCTAATGTCAGTCGGAAAGCAAATTGCATTAAAGTCACAGACTTCCGAAGAGTTGAGAAGACAGCTAAGGAAAGGAGTGTTATATTTAGGGATGAATTACGAGAGGGTGTAAATAACGTGACCTCACAAAATGTGACCGCAGAGGTTGACCCTACTTTACCAGGTGACCTGACCACAATGACCTCACAGAATGTGACCGCAGAAGTTGACCCTTACCAGGTGACGCTGACCACGAGATATGAGGATATTATAAGAACTTTATCTATATCTCCTGTATTGATTCCTTTCACCCACTTAAATACTTCTATCATATCTCCCCGCACTCTTCGTCTTTCTAGGGAATGCAAGTTTAATTTCTTTAATCTATCTTGATATGGAAGATTTCTAAATCCCGGAATCATTTTCGTCATTCTTCGCTGCACCGACTCCAGTGAATTGATATCCATTCTATAATAAGGGCACCAGAACTGAACAGCATAATCGAGGTGCGGTCTGATTAATGCAAGATATAGTTGCAATATGACCTCTGCACTCTTATTGCTTACACTTCTAGATATAAAACCTAATACTCTGTGCGTTAATGTTCGAAATAAGGCAAGCATTAGCGCACTGTTTTCTAGGCCGTAGGTCCGGGCTTACAAGTACCCTTAAGTCTCTTTCACAAGTCGACTTCTCTAGGTTGATGTTGTTAAGGCTGTATACATTGACAGTATTTGTTCTTCCAATATTAAGCAGAGCGGTGCGTTGGGCACAGAAGGGCAGGTGGTGGTAATGGCAGGGAGCAGGGCAACGCGGTAGTTTGGGCACAGGAGGGCAGGGCAGAGCGGTGGTTTGGGCACAGGAGGGCAGGGCAGAGCGGTGGTTTGGGCACAAGAGGGCAGGGCAGAGCGGTGGTTTGGGCACAAGAGGGCAGGGTCAGCTGTGTGAGCGAGGAAGGCGTCCACGACCTTGGGAGGGGTGAAAGTCAAACGGGACGGTGGTGGAGCCCTCCCAGTCGCCCTCAGCAGGCCCGTCACGCCTCACTCCCGCTGGACTGTCTTTCTCCCCCGTCTCGCTATATCTCATTTTCTCTCTACTACCTCTTTATTTTTGTATGCATCCCCAATTGTAGTGCGTGAGTATGTGTGTCTGAATTTTACCACGTGACAGTTCATACTTTATAAGAGTGAATGTCCAGTTGTCAATTGTATTACCGGTAGGTCGTCTGTACATGTGTGCAAAGAAGAATCATTCGACGTAAAAAGTAAACCACAGTTAGAGATGACCCAACTGAGGGACCCTGCAGTCATGTGTGTATATCTGACCAACGAATACACCTGATAACTGGTTACCGGTTGGGGGATAATCCAACCCCTGGGAATAGGACCTGAGGACGTCCACCTTATATGACAGCACCACCTCACCTGACCAGGTTATGGGACCGTCATTCACTTCTGTAGACCATTCTATTTCTCGTGTTGGCCGCTTGTAACATTTTATTCGTGGGAAACAGTATGTAGGTAATTATGGTTTTGTCTCGTTAATCTACGGTAATAATAAAAATAAATAATATAAACTGGCCAGCAAAATCATCGTACCATACACAGTAAGTAAAGAGGTGGCGAGGGCTGGTCCTCCTGTGTGGGCGGAAGCAATTTGGAAAGGCTTAAGCAATGAACACTGATGTCACGTGTATACATCCAGCATATTCTTACTTCACACAAGTCCCATACGTGTGAGTATATTAGAAATCCTAAAAGATTCTATATTAAGTCACTATTTTACTCGAGGAATAAAATTACTAGACGTTTATAGCAACATTCCTCAGCCAGAGTTATAACTAAAGTCTCAAGTTGTGAAGACCGTGAAACTCGGACCAGTCGACGGGACGTGCCGAGCCTCCTCACTACCCTGACAGTGTTTGAATGGATTGTGTCGACACAACGCTCAGCCACACCGTCTCTTACGTCGACACGCCCCTAAGCTACACCTTCATTTCGCCCTTACTGGCTTGGCCGCCATGAGCCCGCAGCTCTCCCAACCGTTGCAATTATAGGTTTTTGTTTATGTTCAACACCGACACCACCTCGGGGTATGTGCACGACTGCGGGCAAGAGGGACATGTGGTGTTGACCCTGTGGGGAGGGAAAGCCTTCTTAAAGGGTCACTCAATGACTGTGTATTAAAGGTGTGGAAAGGTTATAACTGTTCCTTAATCATAAACCAAATTACACCCGCGGCCTCATA